AATTATCTATATTACGATGACTGCAAATAGTGAGATTTTCAACAACAAGCCAAAAAAAAAGAAAAACAAAACAAACAAACAAAAACAACAACATCCAGTTTCTACTACAGACGTTCCCTCCAAGTCGGAGTACATCAGCCAGAGAAGCAGGGAACAAGAACTGGGTACAAATAAGCCAGTAAAACGGATGTAGACACAAAACTTAGGTCCAGATAAAAGCCAAAAGTCCAAATGGACGAACAACTGGGACTTTCCACCAGAATTCACAGCCGGTGAACAAGAAGAAGAAGAAGATGAAGAAGCTACAGATGTGAGTAGATGTTCTGGAAGATATTCATCACTAAGAAGGAAAGATTTGCAGACTATTAATCAGGTTGCAACCAGTACTATTAGCTTGTCAACACTTCACTGGCTACTGAAGATGGGTACAGAGAATTGTGGGAATGTTCCAAGTGCAGTAATGTCAGTTCTTGATTTATTCATTCTTTCAATCATTCATTCATTCACACAATATATCCAAATGAATGACAGAACATTAGTCATTTCAGTATTGGGAGATGTCCAGTAAAAGGAAGAATACATACCACTGTATGTAACCATGGTGCCGCTCCAAGAGTCTATAATTTCCCTTCCAGCTACTGTGAATTTCATCTATTAATGCACCTGTCGAAGTGATAACACTAATGAGTAATAAGCATGTGGATATGAGATCTGTATATTGTTGCAAGAACTAACCAGAGCATCTCCGTGACAGACTGGTTAAGCTGTTTGCCTTCTGCTCTGAGGTCTGTGAGTTCAAATTCTGATTCTATTCTGTCTTCTAAGTGCGGGTGTTTCAGAGATATCAGAAAGCTGTCACTGAAGCTAAGGAGTTGTATTATTTGAGCGACACTCTCAACTAGCAAACTGCTGTTCTGCAGAGTGAGTCTCAGCCATATGGGACTTCTTCATTTTCATCAGCTGTGAATTCCAGCAGAAAGTTCTGATTGTTCATCCATTTCTAGATCTAAGTCGTTCCAGAACCTGAGTTTTGCATACACATTCATTTTACAGATCTGGCTTATTTTTATGCAGACTGTTGGTTCCTCACTCTGATTTTGATGGAAATATCCCTAAAGATTCAATTTTCAACATGCTTATTAGGTGGCAGTAGGTCTATTTTCTTTGTTGCCCACAATGGAACCCTGACACCCACATGTGTCATATGACAGGGAAAACACTTTTTTCTGAAGCCCTTAAAACTGGGGGGAAAAACTGTCCTTACCTCTGTATTTACCACATTTTTAGGGGGAGGGGGAGGGGAAGGTGTCTTTGCACCTGAGGATTTAGAGCCACTTGTCTAGTACTGCTGCTTCAGACTATGTAGGTTAAGATTTTATTTTAGACTCCAACAGAAGAGATCCATACTCTTACGGAAGAGCTGAATAGGGTCTGACACATGAGAGTTCAGGAGAGGCCCGTGTGTGGCTAGCTGCTTCTCTAGTGCAGCCTTGTTGTTGTTATTGATCCAGCGGCGCATGAGCTTTCGCCCTTTGGCCCTTAGTGCAGCCTTAAACAACTTAATTTTGTAATTAATTTTTTATTATAAAGTTACCAACAGGTTTTTCCCCTGGGAACTTCAAAATTCACTGGGAACTTTCATTGCTACTACTTCTGCCTATAGTGCTAGATTATCTCAAGCTTGTCTTTTATATTGCTCTTATCTACTTTTCAACTTTTTAGCTTTATGGAATTTATCATGATCTTTGACCTGAGTAGTTTTTGTTTATATTCTTCTGCCTTTTGTCCCTCAATGGAGCACGGGCCCTCAACCAAGTGCTGCCGAGTCCACCAATCCTTAATTCTGCTTCTGCTACTGGTAAAACCTATTATTTTTGGCTTTATGTTTCAGGTGTTATCCTTACTTGATATTTTTTCCTATCTTCTTAAGGGGTCACCACACGGCATTTTTTTCCAATTTATGGCACTTTTTCAATGTGTTCATTTTTGTAATGTTCGGCATTCATAGAATAGATTACACACAAAATTTGTGGCATTGGTAACAGTTTAGCATTGAAAAGTAAATACTAAAGACACCAATCCATGCACTTTTTTACGATAAAAAAAAGTTTAAAAGTAACTTTTCTGACAATTCTATTTTTCTCTGTGTTGTGTTTGGGATCACAATATTATAGGGTCAGTTCTATTTGAAATTACAGTTTATTGAGTGATTTTAAAAAAAATTTGATTATTAAATGAAAAAGCTACATTTTTGTATTTTTTCATCATACCAAAATTTTAATATTATAAAAAAAATATTTAAAAACATCTTTGAAGTAAATAAACTAGACCTGACCCTAAACATAAGTTTAAAGTTCATGAATCAATCATCTGTTTCTCAATACCTCTGTTTGTTTTTGAGGTTTTAGCTGTCTAAGTACATGTTGTTTTTTCATCAAGATGGCGGCTGTTGCCATGGCAACCATGTTTTTTTAAACTTGAAGTCTACAAATGTTTCAACATACATCCTTACAAATGACCATTATAAAAAAATTGGTCTAACATTGTAGGTAAAAAAAATTTTTTTTTCCTGTATTGACGCCTTAAATATTATTCAGACACCTTTTAGCAGTCAGCAGTCATCAATGGTCGGTGTCTGTGGCTTAGGCGTTGCAAATGAGCTTCATAATGCTGGGGTGCCGGGGTTCGAACCCAGCTGCGGACCTTGCGCCTTGTGTTGGTTTCGACAGTGGTATCCAGCCGACCGTCCAGAAAGCAATGGCAAACTACTGGACGTAAATTTGCCTAGAAAAACCACAACAGCCAAAAAATGCTGGGGTTGGTTCTGCAACATCCTGTAATGGATACGCTACTAACAGTCATCAATGTGCACTTCACCCATGAACTTCAGCAGGACCTGGTATTCATTAGTGGCTATAAATTCCTTTCATTTTTTTTAAAAAATATCTTACATTGCATTAATTCAATGCTTGTAAGGTGGTTATGAGTGTCTTTAATTTCAACTTGACTTAATTATCAGTAAATGGTAATCTGAATCTCTGACAACTTGTTAAATAACAGCCTGGAATGCATGCAAAATGGAGCCATGCGAGACGTTTTAGGATGTGCACAGGACATGTCAATCGTGTACATATGGCACAAACTGTCACTGCCATCCATCTATGAAAGATACAAGGTGTTACAGGTGGAAATGTACTTTAAAGCCTCAATGGACAGGGAACACCTTTTACACAAGGCCTTGGAGATAGAAAGCATGAAAAGAGGTAGCTCTTCAAATACACAGATGGAAGCCATGACCAGAAATGTCTGTGCTACTGACAAAACAGTGCATGGTGAGGAACGGGTTATAGTGCCACCCAGCAAAACAGACTTGCACTAAGTGATAGTTAAACTGGACTGAGGGAGCTGAGAATGGATAGATGGTGAAACAGAAAAAGACAGCCAGAGCTAATCAGTGAAAACTCATGTCCAGGAGACATCGTTATATCCACAGATGGATTTGTAGTGAAAGGTAGAAAGAGTGGGTGGGGTTTTATCGCAAAGGTAAATGGACAGTGTTTGAAATCAGAGAGCCTTGGGTATAATATCACAACATCCAGTATGAGAATAGAGGTGGAGGCAGTAACAGCAGCTTTCCTATAGCTTGAGAGCAGCACAGCTGAACATGTGGTAATTGAAACAGACTCACAAAGCAAGCTTTGGAAAATAGAAACTGGCATCCTACACGCAGTGGCCTGCATCGCTTGATAAGACTCACATCAGAAGCATATCATGGATTTTCTGTCCTGTCCAGGATATTCGGGTGTGTGGGGTAATGAGCAGGTTGATCTAATGGCTGCTGTAGCTCATCTAGGCGATGAGCTACTTTATAATAAAGCAGACGTGGTGAATGCTCTCTGGAATCAAGTGGAGAATGCAACAGAACAGACCGAGTATTCAAACAATGACAGACTAATTCAGCAGGGGATGAGCAGAGAATCTGGAAGATATTGAACACTGCAGGAAAAACATGAGCAAACCTTCCATCAGGTTGCAATTGGTACTTTTAGCATACTGACTCTTCGTTGGCTGCTGAGAAAGGAGATGGAGCACATGTGGAAAAGTCCTGAGTGCAGGGATGTCAGTTCTTGATTCATTCATTTTGACAACTTGAAGCCTAGCTGTAAACTACAACAAAACATGCTACCCTCCCTCCCCCGCCCAAATAGTTGAACAAAGAAGAAGAAGCTAGAATTAGTACAGTAAATGTCTGTGACAGAAAATGTTAAGAAAATTATATTGTGTATGGACCAACTATTACAGAGCAGCTAGTGTGGTATAGAATGAGTTAAAGTAATCTCAAAAAACTCTTTAAGTATCCAATATCATTTTAAATGACTGAAGCATCAGAAAGTTTACCATCAGGTGAGGAAGCAATCTCGCCCTTGTAAAACCTGACATTGTCATTTAACTCAGGATCATCCTCCTTGCCCTGTTGCAAAATAAAATAAGTCAAATAAAACCCACACATTATTACATGTTTTGATAACTATACTAATCCCAAACCTTACAAGGTACAGTAAACAAATCTTTGACTTTACAATAAAGTTCCATATACTACATTTATTTGCTGCTTTATCTCCTTCAACTCTTCTCTGTTCATCGATTGTAGGCTCCTGTGGAAAGTCCTGGTTGTTCGTCTATTTAGACTTTAGATTTGTGCCAGGGCCTGAGTTTTGCATGTATATCTGTTTTACTGCCGTATTTTGTGCATATTGTTGCTCCATGCCGCTCGGGACACACTTTTCTGTGGAGGTTTTCCACACAATAGGTGCACCAAAACCCACACGGGGAGCTGCTTTATGGATAATTGTGTCATTTATAGACAGTAATTTTGTGTGAAATAATGTGTACACACACACACAAGCGTGCACTCATGCATAATGTGCCTATTAATCACACGACTATTTGTATATACATATTACATACTTTTGTACAAATGTAAATATAAATCTATATACATATAAACACACAAAGATTGATAGTAAAGTAAACAAGAAAGGGGGGGGGGATCAGTTGCATTTGATGAAAAGGATAGGACAAGGGGGTAAGGGTGGGGTGGTGGGGGGGGGGATGGCTCAGAGTGTAAGCTCCACTGAAAAAACAAGAGCAAAAAAAAAATAAGAAAGTCAAAAAAAGCCAACTACAGAACAGACAGTCTAAAAAGAGCATGAATAAAAGAAACTGGAAATACAAAAATTCTTTAAAAAAAAAGACAAGTGAACTATTTTGGCCACATTTAAAGATAAAGCATTCTTATCCAAACCACAATGGCTGCAAAAGTTCAAAACAGGCAAGTACACAGTGAACAAGTGAGTGGATGACATCTGGAGATCAGAACAAGCTGTCACCAAGGCAGACATGTAAATAGTGAACAAGTGAGAGGATGACATCTGGAGCTAGGAACAAGCTGTCACCAAGGCAGGTAAGTAAACAGTGAGCAACTAAGAGGATGACATCTATAGATCAAATCAAGCGTCACCAAGGCAGACATGTAAATAGTGAACAACTGAGAGGATGACATCTGGAGATAGGAACAAGCTGTCACCAAGGCAGATAAGTGAACAGTGAGCAACTAAGAGGATGACATCTATAGATCAAACCAAGCCTCACCAAAGCAGGCAAGTAAATAGTGAACAACTGAGAGGATGACATCTGAAGACAGGAACAAGCTGTCACCAAGGCAGGTAAGTAAACTGTGAGCAACTAAGAGGATGACATCTGGAGATAGGAACAAGCTGAGAGGAAGACATCTGGAGATAGGAACAAGCTGTCACCAAGGATGTTTACAGCATGGCAAGAGACAGAGTATTGGAATTAAGAAAGAGACAGACAGAGGGTATTGAAATTAAGAGATAGAGAGACCGAGAGCATTGGAATTAAGAGACAGAGAGTATTGGAATTAAGAGAGAGAGCATTGGAATTAAGAGACAGAGAGCATTGGAATTAAGAGACAGAGAGCATTGGAATTAAGAGACAGAGAGCATTGGAATTAAGAGACAGAGAGCATTGGAATTAAGAGACAGAGAGCATTGGAATTAAGAGACAGGGAGCATTGTAATTAAGAGACAGGGAGCATTGGAATTAAGAGACAGGGAGCATTGGAATTAAGAGACAGGGAGCATTGGAATTAAGAGACAGGGAGCATTGGAATTAAGAGACAGGGAGCATTGGAATTAAGAGACAGGGAGCATTGGAATTAAGAGACATGGAGCATTGGAATTAAGAGACAGGGAGCATTGGAATTAAGAGACAGGGAGCATTGGAATTAGGAGACAGAGAGTATTGGAATTAAGAGACAGGGAGCATTGGAATTAGGAGACAGAGAGTATTGGAATCACACTTCAAGCAACTTTCACTGAAAAGAAATTATCAGTCAGTGATTGATTTTGAAAACACTGTTATAACCTAACTGGAAATTGCAGTGCTGTAGCTAGATGCTTTCCTGCCTGCCTGAAGGTCTTGGATTCGAATTTGCATCAATACAGATTACTTTGTAAGTAACCATGGCTCCCAGATCCATGCAGTCTATAAATTGGTACAAGGGAATGTCCAGGAAAGCAAAGGTGGCAAGCATGTTACTAATCACATCATCCATTAAGTGGCAACTGTGGTCTAAAACATATGGGTTTAATACCATACCACTGATGCACCACTTATATAAAAAAGGGTACATTAATTGTTATGATTTTTTTTTAACTTGCTATAACCTAACTATAATTTATCTTTAGAATGTTCAACAAGTTATTTGTGTATAGATCTAATTTTAAATATGACAAGAAAGTACTTACAGGGTAACCACTTCTGTAATTCTCTGTGTCTCTGTCACTGAAGCGCTTCACAAGTTTACGCTTTTCCTCCTTTTTTCTGTTTTGCTTTCTCTCTCTTTTCTTGTTACGCTTACTCTTATGTGTTGTCCACTGGCTGGCTTTTGTTTCTCCGACTGAAAGGACATCGGCATCCTCATTTTCCTTAGATTAAAACAAAAAAATCTCAAAATGAATTACCGTTGGAAAGATCAGTGGAAAAAGAGACAGAAGAAGATCATGCGAGATGATTCTTGATAGGCTTCTGTCGCGGCATGGAGTGGTACAACACATGAAAAACATGTTGAAGATTACATATTGTGGAGAGACATGGTCACCCACTCCAGTCTGCAAGGCACCTAATTATGATAATAAATGGAGTCACTGGTTTTTGTAAAGGCAAATGTCATCTGTGATGTGTCACATCCAGAAATACTATACCTACAACATTTGGGCCAACAACAACAACAACAAAATTTGTGCAACTAGGTATGTGTGGAAATGATGGTAGTCAGTCGATGCTGATACACAGCTGTTGAGGTATAAAATAAAAGTCCCTCTTAGGTCTTCACACTTTGTAGACCATGACAAATGAGGTGGAATGGTCAGTTCCTTTTCTCACTGTATTTCCGTCAGACAATTCCATGTATGAAAAATTCCACAGATGAAAACGCTGGCCTAGATGATGCAGTAGCTTACATCTATGGTTCTGTTCATCTAGATGTAAGATCTGGCTGGGGATTTTCAGTTATAGTGAAGGGAAAGATCATAGCAGAACAAAATGGTGCTTATTTATCAACAACTTCAAGCATGAGGACAGAGGTGGAGAGAGTACTACAGCTCTGAAGTGGATAGCAAAAACTGTGTTGCCAGCAAAATTACTGTGTCTGATTCTCAGTCGGTACTGCTGGAAGTTCAAATTGAACAATTTGGCATGAGTGGATACCAGGTATCAGTACGTCCACATTGCAGGGTCACATGGATATACTATTCAGGACACGCAGGAGTGCGAGGGACTGAAAAAGTAGATTTTCTGGCTACAAAAAGTATAACTATAGGAACACATGCTAGACAAAGGAGACATTCCGAAGCAAATTTACAAACTAATACTGATAGAAGACATGAGGAAAAAACATGTGAACCTGGAATCAGGTATGGATCTGGCAAAGATGGATGGATGCATGAGACGAAGAGAATCACATGTGCATAATCAGTGTGCCACAGGAACCATTAGCATCTAAACCTCAAGACATTTGCTGCAGAAGACGGTGCGTCTATAGCTTTGCTGGGCGATCTATGATGTTGACTCTTAAATCAGTAATTCCATATCCAGATCAACCTACATCTGTATTAGTCACACAAATTATGCTTTTTCTAACCTTGAAAAAAAATATCTTTTCAATCTTTCCAATTACTGTGATTTTCACTGTTGGTTGTTCTTTTCCATTGTTAAATACCATAGTTTTTGTTTTTCAAATGTTAATATCTAAATCCTACTCTGCACTACTCCTGTTGACTTGATCTGCTAGTAACACTGTGTCATCTGTGTATTTCAGATTTGTATTGTTACTGCATTAATATTCAGTCTAGGCAATTCCTCAACTTGTTTTAAAATGTTATCTATATTTAAGATGAAAAGGCTTGGGGATAACACACATCCCTGATGTACCCCTCTTTTCATCTCTATCCGTGGTGAGGTGATGTTGTTGTGTCTAACTGCAGCTATTGGTTCCCAGTATTGGTTACTTATAATTCTGATATCCTTTCCATCTAATCCTTTATCTGAGGCATGCAATAAGCTTTTCATGTTGCACCCTGTCAAAAGCCTTCTTGTAATCTACGAAACATGCATAAATATTTTTCTAGACTTCTATTTATTTTTCAGTCAGCATCTTTAGACAAATTATGGATTCCCTAGTGCCAGTATTTTCCTTAAAAAACTGTTCCTCAGACACTTTATGGTTTTTTTTTTTTTTAATTCCCTCTTATATCATCTTGCGAAGTGTTTTAGTTATATGGTTCATCAAACTAACTGTTCACACTCAACGGCTTTTGATTTGTTGGGCAGTGTGATGAAAATAGACATTTTAAAATCCTTTGGAATAAAGCCAGTATTATAAATATCATTACAAATTTCAGTGATGCTATCAATGCCAAAGCTGGATAATGATTTTACAATTTCTGTTGTTCTTTTGTCAGGAACTGTGACTTTCCATGCTTCATGTTTTTAATAACTTTCTCAACTTCAGCTTTTAAATTTTTTGGTCCATCATGAAGATTAAACAGTTCTGATTTTTGTGCCTCTATTATCTCAAAATAGGTCCTCTGTGTATACAGTCCACCTTTTGATTATATCATTCTTATCAACGAAAATTTCTCCATCTTTTCCTCTGCTGCAACCATTTCCTGCTAAATTTTCTCTCCTGTTTATGAGTTTTTCTTTTCAGTTCCTATATTTCCTTACATTTCTTACAATGCTTTTGAATTCATGTAGTTTGCCATTGCTGACTAAAAACTCAAATCATTGTTAAAGTTGATGTAAAGCAGTCTGCAACTAAATCGCCTGCATCTGACTTCAAATTCAGCTGCAAATATTGATGTATTAGAAGGTACCACACAAACTATTTTTTTTTATCGTTTTAAATAAGTGTTCTATTTATAAATTTTACAAGCAGCAATAGTTAAATACAAGAACACAGTGAAAATAACATTCAGTCATGACAGAATGACAAACTAGAAGTAAAACAAAGCAGGGTTGCAAACACACATTGTGAACAATTAGGGCCGACACCCATGTCATGTGTGTCTGTTTCCATATCTCTATACATTCTACTTTTACACACTTTCTGTTTAAAAAATGCTACATGCAGTCATATTTCAGCACAGGAAATAAAACGTTTTTCGTAATGGGGAAAAGAATAACAATGAAACAGAGATGATATGACTGTGTTAACTCTTTTGGTCCGAGGCAAATATTATTGCAGCACATTCAAAGCTAAACTCTAATCTCTCCTCTCTCTCTCTCTCTCTAATATAGACCAGCAATCTGTAAGCCTTAACTTAATGTGATTAAATGTAACAGTTTTTACAATACATCCTGAAGCAACAACTGGAATATAAAAGATTACTGTAACATAAGAATAGGGCAGAAGAAAGTTAGAAATGTAAACTATGTAAAGAATAGCCATCAACTTATGGTGATGTGTACAGTACTGAATGAGTTCATGCTGCAAAGTCATGAACAAAAATAAACTTACAGGACTGACAGCCATTTCTTCATCTGTGTCTCTCTCCCTGTCAGATCCACTCTCCGGTGATTGAAAATCATCTTGGGTGTACTGTACTGGTTCTTCTTCAAACGTCTCTGCATCTTCAGTCGTCTGATTTGCCTCTCCTGTGTCCAAATTCTGCTCTAGATCACTTCTTCCTTCCAAGATAACATCTTCTGGAGGCACAATTATTTTGTCCAGTTCAAGGCCCTCAAGCGTTTCTGGTAACCCATCATTTACTTCTGTTCCCATTTCTTTATGATATTCCTCACAAACGTTTCCATTGTGATCATCACATATTACAGTATCTGTTTTTTCTGCAGTAAGGTCCAGAGCATCTACATCTGAATTAACCTTCTCTGCAGTAAGATTCACGCTGTTTTCATCTAAATTAGCCTTTTCAGGAGTAATATCCATGCTGTCTACATCTGAATTAACCTTTTCAGGAGTGATATCCATGTTGTCTACATCTGAATTAACCTGTTCTGCAGTAAGCTCCACATCAACTGCATTTGAATTGTCTTTCTCTGCAGCCAGAATCACACTGCCTAGATGTGAAACAACATTTTCTGCAGCTGTATTCACACTGCCTAGATCTGAATCAACTTTTTCTGCAGCTGTATTCACACTGCCTAGATCTGAATCAACATTTTTTGGGGCTGTATTCAGATTGTTTGCATCTGAGTTAACTTTTGCTGCAGCTGACTCCACAGTGTCTACCTCTGAATTAACCTTTTCTGCAGTAAGCTCCACATCAACTGCATTTGAATTATCTTTCACTGCAGCCAGAATCACACTGTGTAGATTTAAATCAACTTTTTCTGCAGCTGAAGACACACTGCCTAGATGTGAATCAACATTTTCTGCAGCTGTATTCACATTTGAAACAACATTTTCTGCAGCTGTATTCACACTGTCTAGATCTGAATCAACTTTTTCTGCAGCTGTAGTCACACTGTTTACATCTGAATCAACATTTTCTGCAGCTGTATTCACACTGTCTAGATCTGAATCAACTTTTTCTGCAGCTGTAGTCACACTGTTTACATCTGAATCAACATTTTCTGGGGCTGTATTCAGATTGTTTGCATTTGAGTTAACTTTTGCTGCAGCTGGCTCCACAGTGTCTACCTCTGAATTAACTTTTTCTACATTAACAAAGTATTTAGACACCACTTCATCATCGCCATCTTCATTACTTCCACAATGCTGCTGGCCCGCTGCTAAAATAGACTGATCTTCTGAACTCATCCTATAAAATGGCAACTCTGAGTCTTCTTCAGTTTTACAGGAGTCAGCTGAGGAGGGAGGGAAGGCTGAGAAAAGAAGAAAACCAACTGTATTACATTTTAAATGCAATATTAAATATTTATTTCAAAACATTATTGATAAATCTGCAATTGAAGCTAACCAATATTTTTGTTTCAAACTGCACAATGAAAATGTCTTCTTCTTGATCACTGGTTGTCCTAAGTAATGTGACTGTATTGTGATATCTGTACCAACTGGCCAACACATACGGCTTTGGTTTTCCGGTTATTCTTCCTGAAAACTTTTCAGTTTAATTAATCTATTGCCAGGTAAATGCTGGTTTTGCAGCTTCTCTGGTTTTTCTTCACGTTAAAGTTAAAAGATAAATTTAAAGTCAAGAGGATCGACTTCGCTGCACTGGGTTTTATCCCACAGAGTTTGGTCTTTCTCCGCCAAATGGCTAGCCACCTGCAGAGAGTGCCGCGAACAGTGCCAACTTCGTAGCTCCGGTGATGATCCCCATGGATCTCCGGAGAAAAATTGCACTCGTGAACTGAAG